TTTTGGACTGATTTTGAAGTGGAAATATATGTTCCATAGAAGGTTCCTTGAGAGCCATCGGATCAAGGTTCAAGCCATGGTCAATGGTCGGCAGTCACCTCTGCTGACGATCTTAGCTTTTTTTTTCTCATTGGTTCCATTTTAGGCTTTTTTTCTCCTTTTCTTTGGTGATGACTTCTAGACATACCATAGTAATGTAAACTTGAATATGCTCATCAACTGATTAATTTTACAATAATTGCTCATATCAGGGAATGAAGGGACTTCGTATGTACTTCTAAAGAGTTAAACCACTTCTCGTATTTTGTTAATAATTTTATAATAGAACATTTTTTTTCATAATATCATAACGTTACCTAGCTAACGTGTTGAGCTCACCGACTCACGTCACCTTATGTGTAATATCCACATATTAATCTTAAATAACTTCACACAAAAGCAAAAGTGTTGAGAACATAAATCTCACGTTTGAAAGTTAAGGTACTGTTTGGTACATGGAATGGGACAGAACGCAATGGGACGGGACACACTCCCCCCACGTTTGGTGTGCCAATTTGCTTGGGATGCGTTGACCTGTATAATGGATTTTAGTCAATTTTCTGTGCCACCCTCCCCCTGGAACGACTTGTTCCAGCCCATGGAACACCAAATTATAACTTTTTAAACAATAACACCCCTCATCTTTTTCATTAATTTCACTATCTACCCTCCCTCTCTCCTGTACCCTCCTCCTCCTCCTCCAACACAAACCCAGGCTAACCCAATCCCGGTAAACCCATCTGAACCAAACCCCACCTTCCTCCCGCCGCCTCCTTCTTCCATGCTAGTCCCACGACGAGACCGTCGCCCTATGCCTCAAAAACCTCAAGACCACCCACTTGCAGGACGTGGTCGACGCCGTCCCTCAAGGGATGAGACGGCGAGGATTAGGTGGAAGATGTGAGGGATGACATTGAACTCGTCGGCGGTGGCTCAGGTAAGGTCGAACTCGTCGGAGTGGGTGAGTACGATTGTCATTTAATCCTTTGTTCCATTCTAAACTGAGCGTACACCAAACATAGCATGGAACTTCTATTTCATTTCATCCCGTTCCGTCTCATTCTGTCTCATCTGCGTACCAAATGGTACCTAAGGAACGTTGCACTTCCGTCAAAATATGTGGCGTGCATGATCTATCTTGAAGAGAAAATTTTGTCAGCGAGACATCTTTATTCTTCAAGTCGGATGTTTGACGAGAAGTTCTTTAATTGTGAAAACTCTAGTGTCGATCAACCTTTTGAACATTATTGATTGAAACCTTTATTTTTTATCCATGCAGAAAGAAATAGTTCTTAAAATATTGGGATCGGTGGGTTTTGCGTTGTATATACCACCCATTGACATTTGAGAGCTTACACCACCTGCTTCTATATTTCTTTTTCTTGCTAGATTCCACTTCAATTAAAACAATATCTAGTGGGAAGCTTTCGAACAATTGACTCTGATAAACAACATATATGTAAGATCCATATACATATATAAGCATGCATTGTTATTTAGTTATTTGGTTGGTTGGTTCATGTAGGCATATCTCAGTCATCTAAATAATTCGTTGACTTAATTAGGGTCTTTATTTATCCGAAAATTAAACGAGTAAAATCTACCTTGATTAAAAACTCATAAAGCATGTTAACTTAGTTTTAAGGCATTAATAATCTACATGATTAATTAGTAACATAATTAGCATGAACAGTACTGCTATAATCTTACCATATAATCTCTGCCTAGGCTGTCGACTCTGATCTCTGGGTAATTAATAAACTGATCAGGGCTTCCTCGATCTATAATCTTTACCAATTAATTGAATGATAATTTGCATTAAGTTAATAAGAGGTAAAATTATACATTATGAGGATCAATTCTAGTAATCTGAACAGATTAAAAGTTACTTAAGTACTTGCTCTAAACTTTTAAACCCTAATATTTTCTCCGGTTCGAGTCGTGGAAACAGTCTCTTCGCAAAGTAAAGGTAAAACTATGTATGATAGATGTTCTCCCCAACCCTTACAAAGCAGAGAGCCTTACTGTGTTGGGGTTGACCTTTGTAATGGTAAAAGAGATATTAAGTTGGAATTCAACTTACACGGAAATGTGCATGTAATTGCATGAACAACTAGGAAGCAAAACTCACCTTTAGTTTTAATTATATATAGATATGAATATACTTCATCATATAAATGGGAAAAGATATTGAACGGCATTACTTACTATTTGATTAATCCCGCGTCTGTATATTAACACTATCTTGTTAACAAGTAATAAGAAGATTTCATGTCTCCAGTCTGATATGGCAATTATCTGACCTGAGATAGCTTGATTTTAAATTCTCTTCTCTTCTCTCACTTTAAGTGTACTTATTCTTATTTAGTTGCATGTATAGTATATATTACAAATCTGTGTTTTTCTATTTCAGAGATTATTTGTATGCTTGCTCTCTATCAATGGAACGATTTAAACTTCTAATTTCTATTCTCGTATTTACATTGAACAAAGATGTAAGGTCCTCAGCGTCCCACTCGGCATAATAATTTGATTTTGAATTTAGTTTTTTTTTTTTTTGAATAAACGATATTATCTACACTAACGGGAAGGGGTGGGCGCAGCCTCACAATAGGCTAGCAATAATGTGGTTCAAATTCGTCTTTGACGATAATCAAACTTAAGACCTCTCACTTACAAGTGAAGAGGAATATTACTAGACCATAGTGTTTAGGATAGTAATCCAATGACTATAGAGTATGCCACCTGTCAAAGATCAGCTGAGTTAGTTAGGGAATGTTGTTAGAGTTAGTTACAATAACTTGCTGAGTAAGAAATGAATATATTGCAGCTGTATAAAATCATATATTAGCTTAATGAAAAATATAATCTTCTTAGCTAAATCTCTCTCTCTCTCTCTCTCTTCTCTCTTCTATCTCTCTCTCTCTCTAGCATCTGATACACAATGGTTTACGCATAGTACTAAGTGGCTGATTTTAAATTTAGTTAAATACGCAACTACACTCACACATACTAACACAATTCCTTGTCTGTTGGCAACACAGTTTCTCTCAAAACTCAGTTTGACAAATCACACAGGGTAAAACAATTTATAAAGGCGGGTTAAGTTTAACCAATCTAATTGAAACACCAAGGGAACATCATATGCAACACGGCCATTGTATGGTAACTAATAAGGTGGTATTGATAATTAAGTACAATTGTTGTGGTATTATTGAGAGTTTCATAACTTAATCAATAACAAATTAGGTTTAAATTTATGTGTGTGTGTGTATTTTTCTTGCGCTTACAAGTGGACTGCTTGCATATTAATATTCAATATTTTATGGAATAATGCTTGCATTCACCCTTAGAAGATGAGTTCATTCATCCACTTATTTATAACATATCTCACCGTAAACTTTCATAATGGGAATGTTCAATCTTCTGATTTCCATTTGAAGATCATCTCTATAAACAAATCATTGAATCATTTAGTAATCTAAATGTATGAAATAAATCAACGGTTTATCATAAATGTTACTTGGTATCTACACCATTGATTTATTTGATACATTGGGATGGTATGATATCCAGTTCGAATGATTTTTGTAGCAAAGATCTTCAAATGAAGATTAAGATATTAAACGGTTCTGATTATAAAATTTATACAGTAAAAATACGTTATTTGTAAGTGGAGAATAGTCCATCCCCTATAGAGGGAATGCACGTAGTATCCTATTTAATTTTGGCAAAATGGGGTTGAAGACCTGCTTCATATTGCTTTGCCAAGTAATTTAATGGGTTTCGACGGATTTGCTATGATATGTAGAAAATGTAGTATATTCTTCGATCGTTCTATTCATTTAATCCCCCGGAAGGGTGGTGAACACTAGCTGGTCCCTTTTTTGTAAAATAATAAAAATAAAAATAAAAAATCCCATAATTTGTCAAAGTTTTGAAACACCAAATTTCCCATTTTATTTACTAATTTGTAGAATTGTTATCCAAATAAAATACTAGCATAATTTGTCAAATGACAATGCACCAAAAGTAATCCTAGTTTTATTTAATCCTTTGAAAATTGTACACAAACATTGACTTATTCAAGGCATAATATCAATCTCTGATCACCTCTAGTCATCCTTCATCATATGACTTTGGAGAGCTACATCTAATTCCAATTCCAACATGAATTAATCACATGGTATTTACGTTAAGGTCAAATGCATAGACAAATGAATCCAAGAAGAAAAATTCTTGAACTGACCATAATACTTGTAATTAACACCCATAGTTGACCTAAATCTTAACTTTTCTCAGTAGATACAAAACCCTAATACCGCACCCCTGAATTAAATCTATAGACAATTAAAGTTTGACCATGAACCGATCTCCATGTGACTTTTGTAACATACGAAACTTCAAAGCCTTCAAACTATTCAAAGTTTTGTCTCTAGCTACTGCTTGGGAGATTAAATTGGTAAATTAAATGACATAAAAGTTGATTATGATTGGATTACTTAAGTGTTGATGTACTTATTGCTTATTGGTGATACGTTATTTAGTTTACAAATTTAGTCTACAAATTCCCTAACTTACCCTTTGTCTCGTAGCATGTATCTCAAACGTTGATGTTGAATTCTTCTTCTTTGTTTTCTTCCTTTTTAACAAGATTATAATGAAATTGTTTGTAGTATCACTTAGCATTACAGTTTAGTAATATTCATCTCGACTTTTAAGTAAAGAGGTTTTTGGTTTCACTCTCGTATGTGATGAGAAAACAGGAATCAAATTATAACTGACTCGACGTATAACATAGTCCAAATTTTCGTCTCAGTGTAAATATATCGTTGTAGTGTGTATTTCTTTTGCTGCAATTGGAGAACGGGTGCAGTTGACATTTTGTGTGCCGTGGTCATTTAAGTTATTAGCTTATTGTATAATAGTTATATAAGCTATCTCATCTGATATATGATTTAATAATTTCAAACTTTTAAAGGGTTGAGTCAAATACTGCACGCTGTCTATATAAGCAGAGTAGAGATTGAGGAGGCCCTCAGAATATCGAATTAGCGAAAAGAGGATAGCAAAAGGAGAGAAAACTGAAGAAAACAATGGAGGCTGCTTCCGGAAAATCTAATAGCCATGGAGGATCAGAAATGGAAGAGGAAAGAATAGTACTTGAATCTAGTAGTATCGCTGATGATCAAGAAGCTGGTTACAAAGAAGACATAATTGTTCTCAAAGTAAGTGAAATTAATAAATAATAATAGTAATAATAATAATATTGCATCTAAAATTTGTTTCTGTTTTCTTTCCATATCTATCAGAAATTCAAGAAATCTTGTATATATATATATATATATATATGTATGTATGTATATGTATCTATGTATATGTATCTATGTATATGTATCTATGTATGTGTGTGTGTGTGTGTATGGAGATTGAGCTTGTGATTTTGGGAGAATTAATTATGCAATTTTTGAAGGATTACAAGCTATTTTTATCTTGTTCCTACACAAAGAAAAAGATTATGGTATGAGTTTAGATCTATAACAAAGATTTACATGGCCATTATTTGTTATGGATTTTAACTTTATATATGTTAAGTACCTTTGAACTTGAAGGAAATATTATCCCTTTTTTCTTGAAATCAATTGTTTTTTTTTCAAAGAAATCAATAAAGTTTTTAATGTTAGCATGATTTCTTGTATTATCTTTTTTTTTTCTAGTTCTTTTGAATTTCAAGTAAATAAAACGTGTATAATTAAATATCTCTCGTCATATATAGCCATTGGATTTAAATCCATCTCTCACTGATCTGAATTCTCCCCAAGTTTTTGGATTTACATGCTTGCGCAACTTATAATTGATTAACTATATTTGAAAGGTAATTAAATCGTGAGCAGATAAATATTTTTCATTATTAGAGGTCCTGAAATTAGGGTACATGCACCATCAATCAACATCCACAATTGGCTTTCATTATTTAATAGTGAAGTATTGGAATGGGGCGGTGCATAAACCAGAGCTAATTTGGCCATCTAGCGGTTTGAAGTCAGGGATGTATGACTTATGGATGCCTAGAGTTGTATGCTTTTGTTTGTTTTAAGTATAAAACCTTTGATTCAGTTTAGGAATGATCATGTAATAAGAAGAAAGCAACAATGTTAATAGGGTTAGCCTAGTGGTGGCTAAATTTAGAGTTCGAAACCGCCTTTGATGTAACAAAAAAGAAAAAGAAAAAAGGAAGCAACGGTGTCCGGTTATTATTAACTATTACAATTTAACATGTAACGAACATTGCAGGTTTAATTATTCTTCAATCTTTCAATTGAACTTAAATATCATCAATGAATTTTAATAAACTATGTATGATACTAATTGAACAGATGTCGACCACAAGTAATATAAAGGGGTCCTCGGCGGAACCTGATCATTCAGTGGCATCTACTTCATCAAGCCTAAAGGAACAGGTACTTATGTTCACTTTGTTTATTATCATATATATATATATATATATATATATATAAAGAAAATCAATTAAAGGCTAGAGAGAACTAAATTTTCCGAGTTTATTTCTCAAATATTTTATAGGATTATCAGCTTGAATCTGCTAGAGCGGAAATGGGTGAAGTTAGAGAAGAAAACCAAAGGCTGAAGAAGTACTTGGACCGGATAACGGAGGACTACCAGACACTTCAAATGCAGTTCTATGACATTCAACAAAAAGCAAACAAGTCCAAGGACATTGCAATTCCAAGTACTATTAAGAAATATAACCAAGACGAGGAATCCGAGCTTGTGTCACTCAGCCTCGGATCATTTTCTGGAAAACCTAAATGGAATCAAAAGAATGATAAAAACCCTAGCACTAGTCAAGGGAATGTAGAAAATGAGTCAGATGGAGAGAGCTTGTCATTGGGGCTAGACTGCAAATATGAATTAGCAGCTAAATCAAGTGCCACAACTGATCAAGTGCCCTTGGCAAATCCAAGCCCTGGAAGCAGCCTTGAAGAAGTGCCCAAGGAAGAAGCTGGTAAGACTTGGCAACCAAAAAAAGTTCTCAAGACAATAAGATCAAGTGCTATAGAAGATGAAGTTGCGCAACAGAGCCCAGCCAAGAAAGCTAGGGTTTCAGTGAGAGCCAGATGTGACACCCCAACGGTTAGTTTACACACATATTAATGAAATTAAGTAGTTCATATGCATGCAAAAATGGAATTTACTAAAGATTGGTTAATTGTTGTAACCATGAGATTTTATTTACTAAGCATAATTGTACTTGGACGCAGATGAATGATGGATGCCAATGGAGGAAATATGGGCAAAAGATTGCAAAAGGAAATCCATGCCCTCGTGCTTACTACCGTTGCACCATTGCACCTTCGTGTCCAGTAAGAAAACAGGTAAATGCATGCACCTATCTGTGTCGGTGTTTGACACATCACCTGTCACATAATATGATTCACTATATGGTATCTAAAAATATATTGTACGCTAATTTCTTGATTTGTAATTAATTTAGGTACAAAGGTTTGCAGAGGACATATCCATCTTAATCACCACCTATGAAGGAACACACAATCACCCACTTCCGATGTCAGCCACAGCTATGGCTTCCACTACCTCTGCCGCTGCTTCCATGGTATTATCCGGTTCATCATCTTCAAGCTCTGGCAGCCTGAACCCATCAACTACCGCTGCGCACGATCTTCATGGTTACAATTTCTACCTTTCTGATAACTCAAAATCCAGATTCTACACACCCAACTCTTCACTCTCATCTTCTCTCCCAACAATCACCTTAGACCTCACTTCAAACCCTTCATCAACATCCAATTCCTTGTCCCATCTCAACAAATTCTCTTCTTCATCAAGTTCTTCCCGTCAACTTTACCCTTCCACCAGCCACAACTTTGGATCAAATTCTGAGTCCAACACCAACATTTCTTGGAGGACCCCCTTACCTCCATATAATATCAGTAACAAGAATCAAATTGCACCACTAAGTAGTCTTGGAATCAGGCAGCAGCCCCTGCAAAACAGCATGTACCAAAACTACATGCAGAAGAATATTAACCCTAACCCTAATCCCCATCAAGGAGTTCCGCATCAGTTTCGACCAGACTCTATTGCAGCTGCAACCAAGGCAATCACAGCTGACCCTAGTTTCCAATCCGCCTTAGCCGCCGCCCTTACATCAATCATTGGCAACAACAGTACTGTTGGGACAACTGGCATTACTGGAACCCTAGGTCATCTTAAGCAAGCAGATGGTGGAGACAGTAGTATCAGTTTGGCTCAGAAATTCAAATGGAGTGACCACTTTCCAGTAAGTACTACTGCTTTCTCCATTCCTTCAGTCACAGATAGGGAATAACAGTAGCATTGGATGTGCATCAAGCTATTTGAACAAAACAACTCCCAGCGAATTCGCAGCTCGGGAGCTTGATGTTTCTGCCACCTTCATTGCCATTTTCAAGTGCCCCCAAGTGTGCATCTACATGATACTAGAGACCACAAGAGTTTATAGTTTTTTAATTGAATAATAATGTTTAATAATTTGTAAACAGTTAATTAATTTGATTAATCTCAGTTTACTATCCTAAATTTTTTTTATTTTTAACATTTACCACATGAAATGTTTTTCATCCCAATTTAGTACATAAAATCATATTTCTGGAATATTTTCATACATTCGTTAAGTTTTCCATCAAAACATTATTTATCTGATGACGTGGTACTTATGTAGATAATGACTGGGCACGTATCACTATGGGCCCACATGGTAATTAAAAAAAAATAGTTTTTTTTCTGGGCTGTCTCCTCACCCCCAACCCTTTCCATCCCTTCTCTTTTCTGCACCCAAACCATCTGCACCCACCCACCCTCTTCACCTCCGCTGAGACCTGCGAAGCTGCCGCAGCAGACCACAAGGCGGATGACGACATATCGTTACCTCGCTCCGTCGCCATTTTCTGCTGCTTCTTGGGCGGTGGTCTTGTGGCTTGAATGAACATGTTGATGACGTCGGTGTCGATGGAGATGATGACTTGAAATGGAATTGGAGCTCCTCCAATCCAACAAACGGCAAGCGCCCATTGGGGTTTGACGGCGGCGAAGATGACGAAGAGCATCGAGAGAGGAAGTTGTTTAAGCTTTTGGATTTGTTATGACAAGGTGGAGACGATGATGAATTAATTTTCGTGCGAGCAATTGGGGATTAGGGGTTTTGCAAAGGATGGAGGTGAAGAAGGTGGAGGTGGGTCGGGTATACCAGGGCCGGTCCTGTGTTTTTGGGTGCCCAGTGCGAAAGCTCAAAATGTGGCCTTTTTTAATACGGAAACATATAAAAGGTCGTACCCAGTGCACAAGGCTCCCGCTTTACGCAGGATTTGGGAGAGGTTAATACGGAAACATATGTTTAAAAAAATATTTAACGAGGGCTGGAACCCAATCAAAGCTAGGGGGCTAGGCCCTCACGCCCAAATGATATTACTTGAGAAAATATACAACGGGGGGGGACATAATACCTAAACCCCGACAATCAAAAATACAATCATATACAACCATTCCTAGCAAAACTCCTTGAAATTTCAACCTTTAAGAAATTGTCTTCTGGCATTTTTTGAAGCAAAATCATCAATTATATCATCATACTCCAAGTCTTCAATCTCATCCTTTTCAATGCATAAGATTGCTAATCCATTTAGCCTATCTTGAGTCATAGTGGTCCGCAAGTAAGATTTTAATAATTTCAATTTTGAAAAACTTCTTTCTGCAGATGCCACGGTCACAGGTACAGTCAACAGTACACGATAAGCAATCAAGACATTAGGACACATGTCAGTTTCTTTTACAAAGTTTGCTATTTCCATGGATGTCCAAGGGTTATTAGAGAAAAATGCTTCTTCAGGTAACATCATTTGCAACACCTGTAACTCGGAACATAAGTCGGCTCCATCTACATCCATGGTATTTCCATGTTTCAAATGTGCTTCAAGATTCATACAATTTTCTTTTAGTTGTTGATCATCCAATGAAATCAACTTCGGTGCATCAAACAAGAAGCCAAAAATATATTCAAAAGCCTTTAACTGTTCAAACCTGTGTTTCAGTTGAGAAAGAGCAATATCCACTATAACAAGAAAATAATCTGTTCTAAATGATTCTTCAGCAGACTGTTGTTCCCTCTCATTACCATCAACTTCATCATGATGTCTTTTTCTAGGTCTATGACGTTTAGTTTGAAAAACAGGGTCAATTTCCGATTCAAGTGAAATTTCTTTAGCATCACGCATGGCAGAAGCCAAACCAGTTTCTGTGTAGTTTTCAAAAAAGGTAACAAGTGCTTCCAAAGCCTTTACAGCAACATCAAGACGCATGTCTTCAGATTGTAATTTTTTGCTCACCATGTTAATCTTCAACAAAATGTCATACCAAATAACCAAACTTAATACAAAATCAAAACTGGAAAGTTCTCCTGATGCTAAACATTCTGCATCCCTACTCAATTGGGGATTCTCAGTAATTTCCACCAACGTAAACAAAGCATTTCTCACTTGGGCTACTTGGGATTTAATTGCTTTAACACTTTCAATGTGACTTCCCCATCGAGTAGTTGACAATGACTTCAAAGTTAAACCATCAATATGTTCAAGCAAAAATATTCCAACGCTTTGTAGAGTTGGAAAACACCGTATATATGCATTGACATGCTCCAAAAAAAGATTTTGCTTTAAGACATGAACTTGCCATATCACAAACTATTAAATTAAGACAATGAGAACCACATGGCATGTAAAATGCTCTGGGATTTATGTCTAGCAATCTTTTTTGGACACCTTGGTGTTTCCCTCTCATGTTAGATCCATTATCATAACCTTGTCCCCTCACATTATCAATATCAAGATCAAGAGACTTTAGGACATCTTGCAACTCATTAAAAAGTCCTTGTCCTGATGTATCTTCCACACTTAAAAACTCCATGAAATACTCCCTTATATTTTATTGACCTACTTGACAAGTCAACACATCTCAAAATTAAAGTCATTTGTTCCACATGACTTGCATCAGGAGTACAATCAAGAATGACAGAAAAAAAATTTGGCTTCTTTTACCTTTTTAATGACAGAAAAAATTAAAGTCACTAATTCCATCTTTTGCTAACTCACTTTTTGAGGCAATTGTTTTAAACAATTTACAACAAAAGCAAAAGACTTTATCCAACTCTTTTGAGTACACGAGCCATTTCCTATCATAAATTTCACCCGTTGGTAATTTTCGATCATAGTAGTGTGAGGAAAATTTTTTCTAGAGAGTTTGTCCTTAGGATAAGTGAGATTAGTTTCTCGAATTGGCCCATTTTCTACAAGCAAGTCTCTCATTTCTGCATTAAGACCATCCCAAACTCTTGGATCATAAATGTTTATATGGAAAATAGGTTCAGGAGATTCAATATTTTCCTCTACACCAATATGATCATCATCAACATTTAAATCCACATCACCACCATTTTCATGGTCTTGAGACTCATCACCAACATTTTCTTCTAAATCACTACCATTTTCATGATCATGAGACTCCCCAATAACATTTTGTGGCTCTTCACCAACATTATTTTCTCTCAAATTTTCAACTGACTCATTCTTTGTAGAGAAAAATTTATTAAGAGATCCTCTTAAACTTTCGGCAATTTCGTTATCCTTTGCCTTTTTTTTTCTTTTCATATTACCAGAGAGTTGTTTCCTAAAAGACATGGCTTCAATAATTTGTTTGCAAAAATTACCTACACATGATATAACAAAATTTTCCTATCAAATTATCATTCCAACACATTATATATTATAAAAACACTAACACATAGTCAAACATATTATAAAAATTGAACCTAAAATTGGGTTTGAAATGAAATCAAATAATTCAATAATCAATTAGTCAAGAATTCAATTCATCATTCATCAACAACAATAATTCTATACATCAATTATCAATTTATTATATAATTCTATATCACTTGCATTGCAAAATTTTATATTAAATTATAAATTGAGAATTAAAATTTAAAAAATTTACCTCAAAAATAATTTTGTCTCCATGCTTGAGAGTTTGGAGCAACCATTAAAGCTTGTAGCAAAGAAGTTGGACGGCAGAGCAAACCAAAGCACCAATAATTCAAAGAAAGAAAAATGATGGGCAGGGAAGGCAAAGTGAGGGATGTAGGGAACAAAAGAGAGGTGGGTGGGTGGGTGGGGAATCGGGAAAGGTTAGAGTATATTAGGGATTAGGGTTTGATTGGGACCACTGGTCCCTGTTATGTCTTGTTATGTTTTTTTTTTTTTTTTTTTTTTTCGGCTGGGTCTTTCTGGACCCTTTTGTTGCCTTTGGGCTCTTGCCAGCCCCTATTTGGGCTGTGAAATTTTTTTTTTAATACTTAGTTATATGGGTTTTTTTTTTATTTTGGTGCCCTCTTCATTTTGGGGCCCTGGACAGTTGCCCCTGTGGCACTGGGCCTGGGCCGGCCCTGGGGTATACATGGTTGGGTGGGCGCAGTTGAGAGAAGGGAGAGAGCGGGGGGTGACGTGAGGTAGGAGAGGTGGGTGTGCGGGGAGAGTGGGTGCAGATGGTTTGGGTGCAAAGCAGAGAAGGGATGGAAGGGGTTGGGGTGAGGAGGTAGCCTAGAAAAAAAAAATTATAATTACCACGTGGGCCCATAGTAACACGTGGCCTTCATTCATTGTTCATATAGACACCACGTCATCAGTTAACAGATGTTTGGATGGAAAACTTAATGGATATATGAAAGTGTTCCATAAATATGACTATGACTTTAGGTACTAGACTGAGACAAAAAAAATTCATGTACTAAATGTTGAAAACCAAGAAATTTTAGGGTAGTAAATTGAGATTAACCCTAATTAATTCAAACAAGGTAATTAAATTGAGTTTGAATTTTTGTGTATTAGTCTGTTTTTTAAGATACATAGTGGTGATTGTATGACTGTAAATTGTCTTTATTCCTAGACGTGGATATACATGAGAAGGATTGAAAACGGTATTAGCTGACATAAGCTTTGATATATTTTTTTTTAAAAGGGGACAACTGGTGGTAAGCCATGGTTATCCACTCTTTCTGGGGGCTGGGAAGACTCACAGAGGCATTTTCAGCCTCCCTCTGGCCACAAGTCTGGTTTCCAAACCAGCAGCGGATTTTAAACCTGAGACCTCCAGTTTTTAGTTTTAAGGAAGTCTCGTAATCCGCGCTTTACCAATAGGGCACCAGCTCGTGGTTATATTCATTTGCGTGACCAAATACATCTCTATCACTTTGGTGTACGTTTTTTTTTTTTTTTTTTTTTTTTACAAGAATTAGTAGCAATTTTTCATTGAGATGATAACTGTTTGGGTTAATATTTGAATATTGGGTTTGAATGAAGGAATGCCCAAGGATGCCAAATTAAATGAGGACTTGCCCGAAGCCCAGCATCGAGCCCAGAGACAAACTAAAGCCCTCTCAGCCAAGGCATAGGCCATGTGCCTATGACTGAAGTGACAA